TTATTATTATTATTATTATTATTATTATTATTATTATAAAGCGCGAAACTTTTTTGAATCATAATTGGATCGCATGATCAAATATAGTGTCATATCGTCATATATAATTTATATAATTTCAAGATTATCGACCATATCTGGGGGTTTTATTAGTAACATATTTCGAAGATTTTTTCAATAAACTTTATCTGAATTATTCTGAAATAATTGTGTTTGCTTCATTGAAACAAACACACTGTTAAACACCACAAACCGTAAATGAGCGAAATATGTTCAACAAAAATATATAATATTTATTGATAATATAGCAAATTTGTTGTTTTTCGTAAATGTCTAATACATTTTATTATAATGAATATGCCACTATTTTTGACTCAGATACAGTATAATTAGGGTAATTTTTAAACAATTTTTTTTATTAGGGTTCAGCGTGGGAGCTGTTTGGGGCACAGGTCGCATCTGTCTCCGGCCGGCTCTAATAAAAACTTTCATATAACACAGAGAAAAAATCCACAAGTATAATTCAACTAGTTCATAAAAAAGCCATTTTAATAATTCTCTGAACATAGCTCCACCCATAACTAATGCGCCGGAACAAATGAGGGTATGGATTTTTTTCATCTTTTTTTTCTCTATGCTTCTTTTATCCCCCACGAGTTTTTTTATGTGCAAGGACCGCGACGGTGCGGGGTAGTTTTTTCTAAACCCTGTAAAAAAGGCGTTCACTCGCTCAGGGTGTGTATTTTTTCAACGTCCAATAACAAAAAAGAAATATGGTATAGCGTGCATTATTACCTACCCAATGAATTGTAATGTTATTGTTTCATAATTGCGCTTCTTTTCTTTGCGATCACGCAGGAAAACGAACGTATTCATTTTTTGAGTGACGTCGGCAATGTTTTATTTTTTTATGCATGTGATCAAATGTAAATATAAGGGTGCGTGTCAAAATTTGAATGGATTTGCAAGGGTAAACATTAAAAAAAAGCTTTTTTGTATTTTTTTTCTTTCGAAGGGTATAGAAAAAAATGAATGTGATAAACTTACCCATATTAAATAAACATAAAATCGTTTTTTACAATATTAAGTGACGATATGAAATGATAATCTGATATTTAAAGGTTGCCCAGAAAATTACTCGAAAATTAAATTAACTTTAAAAACAAAATCAAAAGATAGAAAAATTGAACAAAAATAGAGTAATTTATCATTCTATAACGCATATATGTTGGGTGGAACATGGTTTAGAGATACGCGGGTAAAAAGGTCCACCATCATTATCTTAAAAACAAGTATAGAATTTTTTAGTGTTACTATATAAAATTTCCTTCTGACCCTTCTTACCCCGCATACGGAGAAAAAAGGACAAATGATAAATTTTAGAAAAATAGAAAAAAAAAACATATTTCTATAATTAGGTGTGAACTGGTTCATTTAGTTTAGGCAGTAATTACTGAAAGTCAAATCGGACCTTTTTGTCTCACCCTACCCTATATATATATATATATATATATATATATATATATATATATAGTTGCACTTGAATGTTATTTCCTATATCAAAAACTTGTAAGAATTTGAATATTGAAGTTCGTAACGTCTGTGTAGGGAGTTATGAGAAAGTTCGACAGTCTACGTTAACGCGCTGAGGGGCAAACGATATCTTATTATTAAAAATATTTCTCGTGTCGCTGTAAACCAAATTCAAAAATATTATAAATACTGATTGAATTGCAATATAATAAAATCAATTATTACCATCTTAAAAATGATAAGATTTACATTACGTTACGTTAAAATATTATTATAAAATAATAATATCTCGTAAAATGAAGTATTATTGTATTAAATAATGGGTAGTACTACCCTAGGGTAGGTCAGTGAGCCGAGTTAAGCACCAACTCGATTCAGGGAAGAATAGTGTGAGAGGTTTTCCATTACCATTTCACATCGCAGTGTTCAGAATGGGCTAATTGAAAACATAATTTTGATCTATATTTTCAAGTGAAAATGGACATGAACGAAATCAGGTTGCCAGAGCCGGGGCATGAACTTGGAAACCCGCCCACACGAGGAAGCGCGGTAAACCGTTACGCCAAGAAAGGAAATGAAATACTATATCATATACCTATTGCATTTATTATACTAAGGTGACCATACGTCCCGGATTGGGCGGGATAGTCCCGGATTTCCACCTTGTGTCCCGCGTTATTTTAAAAGCATGATTTGTACCGGATTTAGATCTTTTGTCCCGGATTGTCCCGGTTTTTCAAAAATTAACAGAAGAATTAACAATAATTATGAAAACAAACGAACAAGTGCTATTTTTTTCAAAATATTTATTAACAAAATAGTATAGAATATTATACAAGGCTCAAAAGCGCGAAAAACATATAAATCCATATAAGATCATAGATGAAAAAGTATGACATATAATCGAATAATAAATCAAAATAATAAGTCCTTACTAAAAGTCCGCAATTATTATAAAAAAAGATTTATATAAAAAAACTGTTATTATATACTTCCCGTCCCGGATTAGCATAACTGAAAACTGCCATCCCGATTTTGACTTATGTTAAAATATGGTCACCTTAATTGTACATATTATAGAATGATTATAATTTGACGAGTTTTCAACTATTTCAACTTCTAAAACTATTTTTTTATTATTTGTATGGTAAAAGGAACGAACATTATTCGAAATCAGAATGCTAACAATAAGTCAAAGGTACGGGTCAGCGACCCTCACGCATTTAGAGGGGCGGTGGTGTTGTGCGTATTCGTATTTAATATCCGGCCGGTACGCGGGTATCTGTTGCGAGTCGCAATCGCAAGAACAGGGATAGCATCTGCGTCCCGATATTTCATAGTTCATCGTGTGCCATCTCGTACTCGACCACGCACAAGTGCGAATGCGATCAACACAAAAGAGCATCATAAGAAGAAAACGAAACGAAAGCATGAAGTCATCCATTCTCGTTACTTCTTTTGTAAATCAAAGCATCGGCCAAGGTCCTGATTTGTGTTATTATATACGTCATCGGTTACTCGTTGATCGGTTTTCTCTTCCGCACAAATCAACCCTTGGGCTCTCATCTCGCGACCGATGATGCAGAGTAGCATCTCGATAGCGGACTCATTGACAGGCTGCTTGCAGCTGCTGTTTTTGCTTGCAAATACATTTACATCGACCTATATGCATGTAGTCATTTTTACGTACTCATAAATACTAAATTATGACACATAAAAAATATACACGTAGTCGAAGTACTCAAAATATGCATAGACTCACAAACCACATTTGAAATGTGCTTACACACCACGTGTGCGTAAGCGACATCTAAAGACAAATTTATTGGACCACAAACTGTGTAAGCCGCCGTGACCATAAATATTGCGACTCACTAATAGTAATAAATTTTACGTAAATAAATTTAGATCAAAAACAATAATTGCACTTTTTAATTATTTTTTTAAACAAAATTTCTAATAAGTCGAATCTTTTGATCTCTGCTCAGTTAATTTCATGTGACAAACCGGCATTGTGTTCACTGTGGAATTGTGCAAAAAATGTAAAAAAATAAGTTATTCGTTTCCTAACATTTCAATTAGAAACCATCAAATCAATCACGTGTATTGTCAAATTTTTTTTCAATTTCAACAGCAGACAATTTTTTTGTTCATCTCTTAATCACCAAACAAAATGTTACATAAAATGAAACCATCCGGTGGTGAAACGGAGTTTGCCCGGTTTGCTAGTTTTTTTTATATAAATATTAATTATTCGGTATTTGTAAATGAATTATAATATTTGGTATTTGTAAGTTCTCTAAATAGTGACATCAATTTGTATCATATATAGTCATCAATAAACATCCTCAAAATTTATATGAATTATAAAGGTTAATTTATTTTTTGATATATACTATAGATAAAAACATAAGCCCAGAAAATTTAAATAATAAATTCGGGTTCTAAGTCAACTATATAAAACAAATATATCGAATAAGAAGTTTATTGCTGATATTGGTACTTGAAATTCAAAAGCGCGTCTTGTTGTTTTCAAGAGAGATCTCTGAATAATTTTATTGAATACATTCTTTGCTATCTTCACAAAAAACGATTTTGCATGCATTATGAGTTGTTGAAATTTAAAGTAGTTTAGAAGATAAAAAAATAATTTGCATTTATTATGAAAAAAAAAGTGAGTAACTACTTCATATAATTGGGGATCTATTGTAAGGGGCAGCTGGTGATAGGGTTATAATAAAGTCGAAACTGTACTCGGCATAACCAGAAATCGATATATCGTATTTCATGATCTAATTTTTTTGTTCCACATTTTAACTTGATTGATATAAATTAAAATGATTGACTTAACAATATTAAATGTACTACCCAAAAATTCCTATTTATCTGGGAAAACAAAAGGAATATATGAAAAAATAACATAAAAAGTCGTATTATGAAGGGGTTAAATGAAAATGAAACAAATGAAAGCTTAAAACAAAAATGAAAATTAAAAGTCGCGTGAGAGATTTCGCCGTCCAGTGGACATTTAATGGAGGGATGGATATCCAATTTATATAGAGATTAATGTTACCCGTGTTCTCTTGAAAGAAAAATTAAATATCACGTAGAGGCGTAGCATTAGTATATAGTCCGGTGCGAAATGCGTATCAAAGTAAACTAAAGCGATGTCTATTTATTATGGCAATTATGCGGAAAGCTTCTTTTTCAAAATCATCAATAACACGACTACACGCCTTAGTTTAATATTATACGTGTTTCATTAAAGAAAAAATTAGAAAATCTCAAAGAGCTTATGCGAAACAAAAACATTTGAGTTTGTTAGTAATTATGGGACTTTTTCGGTTTTTAAAATTATCAATTATTTTACCATTTTAAAAACCTGATTAAATGCGCAAATTAAATTCTTATGAAACTTGCCACCACATTTTATTAAATTTTTCCTGAAAAAGCGCCTCTCAAAGTCGATCCATTTTAAAAAAATTGAATTCATAGCTCAACAAAAAGACTTAATTCTTGATAACTTAGGCCAAATGGCATTTTACTTTTAACATGTAACATTTTTACTTTTTTCACTGGATTTCCGAAACCGCTAGACCTGCCTTCATGAAAATTTGATCAATTCTTCATATGATCAACAAAAGTAAAATGTTATTTGAATTATTAAAATCGGACGCTCCGTTCTCTTAAAAACTGAGTTACCGTTTGTGGCACGTTTTGCCCCGTATCTTCGAAACGGCTAGACATGCTTATGCCAAAAACTGATCAGCACGTCTCCTTATCAACAGCAATCGAATGTTTTTTGAATAATCGAAATCACGGTTGAACCGTGTTCCCAAAATCGTCGACGAAAATTTGTACCCGCACACACACACACACATACATCCATTTCTTCTAAGGTATGCCAAAATGTTCAAAAACCTCTGAAACGTAAAGGTATATAAAAAATTTCATTTTCGATTTTTTTGCGATTACTATAACTTACCCTACGGGAAGTTAAAAATGAACCAGAATAACCAAGAAATGGTCACAGTTTCACCAAAATCTAGGTTACACTTAAAAGCTCATTATTCCCAAACAACGTGGGATAAATTTCTTGTCTAAATTTGTGTTTGTAAATTTTCTGACTAAACTAAACAGTATTCGAAAATGATAAATATTACCAGCCGCTTTGTGAGAGTATATATTTATTCCAATAATTTACCAATTATTATAAAAAGTACGCATAAGAATTGGGCCCATTTTTTAAATTGCCGACGACATTCGCAGTATAAATAATCATCGAGTAAGACGACTACAGACTACACGCAGTTGACTAATTGTCATCCATTACGGCCTCTGTCGTACCCATAACTAATTAGGAGCACGCACGCGATATCGGTCGGCCCGTATCGAAGAATGCCCACACCGCCAGATGTGAAACAATATCCTTTTCTGTTTTTCTGTCTTTTATCTCTTTGCGTTATCCCGATAATCGTGATAATATATGTGTACCTGCCCGAGAATGGATTTATTATTTTTCTTCGTTTTCTGGAACGAATTAAAATAAAATCGCAATTACCGCCGAGACACTGAAATCTATCTTCTCATAATCTTCATAAAAATCTCGTCAGTGTGCCTAGCGTGCGACGATATTGGATGTACAAACATAATGAATATTGGTGTACTTTTGTGAGAAGTAGAAGGGTCTGTAAACAGTACGAGCAGTTTTCATGAAGCTAAATTGTAAGGGTTGTTTTTTATCATTTTTTTTTAGTTTGGTGCATGTGATATAAATATTTACTGAAAAAACATTAATACTTTATTACAGATTTTTTTGTCGAATTTGATAACAATACATACTTTGAAAAAAAGGATAATCGAATTTATGCAAAATTATTTAATTGAATATTTAGGTTTGCTGACGCAGTTCAAATGTAAAATACTTCGGGTTAATGGACAATTTAGTCCACTTGTGATAGTGGACAATTTAGATGTCCATTAGCAAAAATGAGTGTTTTGGTTGATTGTGTAGTTTTGCGTTTGACGTTCGTTTAAAGAAAATCAAAACTAAATATATGCTTTCAATTTCTCCAAAGGCAAAAAAGCATCTTAAGGGGCGCCGCCTAAAAAAGATGATTTTTTGGAATTTATATTAAAAAAATACTTTATCAATCATTTCAAAATTTTAAGAATACATTTACACATATTTTAAGAATACATAGTAAAGTTTTTGAAGAAAAAAATTCTTTTAAGTTATTATCGATCTCCAACGGCACGAAAAAAAAGGCCCTTCACTGCTGCAGTGATTCCGGCCCTCTACGTGGATGAAATTTAAAAAAAAATCTCATTAAACTAGATAATATTGTCTGTAAAATGACCTACGACAAAACAAAAAAAATCAAAAATTAACAAAATGGCGGCGTTTAAAAAAAAGTCGAATTTTACCCAAAATTTTGGTCGTTTTTAGACTGCCAAAATTTGATTTTTGATCCGATCAAAAAATCAATAGTTCTTTTTAGGGAGAACTATATATAGAACATGTAAAAAAAATTGATAGTGATCGGATCATTTGTTTTTGAGTAATCGCTGCAGCAAATTCGGAAAATGCTGTTTCGAGAAAAACGCGTTTGAAGATAAAATAATCGTTACACTATATACTATATATATACTCTTTAAATGGCTGTAACTCAAAAACTATTTAAGATATCGATTTAAAATTTTGATATGTTATTTTTAAAGGTATAACCTATCGAAATATGGAAAATTGAATTTTTTTTAAGTTTCACACTAGTTGTGCCCCTTAAGCTCAAAAAAGTTATGAGCTGTTTATGGCGACAAAGCTTTAAAAAACGGCAGTATCAAAATTGGTTTGCCAAATTTCGTTCTGGTAATTTTTCACTCAAAAATGATAAATTGTCTATTTTTACTCTTACCATCTAACTGAATAATCAATTCTAATGTCTACACTGACCAAATAATGAAACTAAACAAATCAAAACAGAGATTTTTTCCATTATTGACATCATATATCACTAGGCCACTAGGCAAAAATTATTGGATATTTTTTGAAATGCTTTGTCATATTCACCATACAGTCTTGACCGTCTGATTAATTTTGTTTCGATCTTAACAATACTTTTCGAATGGTAAACAATTCAACGTTCATGGTGGTGTCAAATTGCACGTGATTCAGTTTCTTGCTAATAGAAACCAGGAGTTGTATGAAAGTGGGATAATGGTGTAGCTTGAAAGATGACAAAAAGTAATTGATCAAAGTGAACAGTACATTACAGAATAAAGTTATTTACTTCCATGAAAAATTGTATTTGATTTTTTATCAAAAAGTCTGGAAGATTACTGTATATGTAAATATATTAGGCCTAGTGAAGTCTACGAATCGAATGGATTTATATTAGAATATTTGGTGAATGAGACTGTAGCATTGAAATGCGGGAGGGTCCGCGTTCAACGGCGGGGACTATATGTTTTAAGTGCATTGGAATGAGTTGAGAACAGTCGAACACTATGCTGGAATAGAAGCAATAGCCGAGGCCGCTCGTTCGAACATGCAAATCGTTAGACAACGATATAAAACACGATGCGTGCCCTTAATGTCCGATGGACACGCGTTCTCATGGAGAAAAATATAAGAGAGCGCGCACAACGGTAATGCGTTGCAATTAATATTGAACATCGCGATGTATAATTATCTTTTATGCGTCTATTTGTGCGCACCTAATGTTATCTGTTCCAACTATAGTTATTCCGCAATTAGTGCTATTCTTCCTCAGTACGTTCTAAAAATTCTTTCAGTCAGTGAAACCTTACAAGAAAATTATATATGTGTGAACAAATATAGTTTACTTTTCATAAAGTTGCTCCTAAAATAAATTCATAAATGTTGCTTTTTAAATTAATTCATTAGCCAATTCTCGGATAAAACAAAGATGCTATGATAATGCTATGTATTAGGTCTATCTTCACATGAGTTGGTAGTAACAAACTGTAAAAAAGCTATTTATTTGCTGTGCGGTCAGGCGTTTTACACACAAAACCCAACCTAAAAAACGCACAAACAAATAACAATTTCATCATAAGTGTAACTTTCTTATGTCTCTTTGATAACACATACGCGAAGTTAGGTTTTATGTGTAAAACTAAACGCACAGCAACTACATTGCTTTTTAACTGTTTGTTACTACAAACTCATACCCGTAAGATAGCATTACTATAACATTACTATTTAAACCGAAAATTTTATCCTTCAATGTTGCCTTGATTTTTTGTGATACTAACTTTTTGTGCGCTGTCCTGATAATACTGATACTAATGTTATGAGCTATGGTGGATATTTTAAAAGCTATTGTGGTAAAAGCTGATATGTAACATTTGAATAACAAACTTGTGATATAAACTCAAACAGTTCATTATACAGGTCACCACTTCTTTAACAACCCCCTACCCACTGCGCCTAATATTAAAATAATTTTCGACTATTTATTGTATCATATTTTTATTTTGAATATTGAAGTGTCGGAACGCAGTTCCATTAGTTTAGGAGCAAAACATCTGTGGTGGACGATAACAATTGGATTCCGTATGAGTTTGATAAAAATCTAAATAAAACTTGTTCACAAAGATACAATCACGCGTGTGCGTTTATACTATTTTAGCTTTCCGGAGCAAGAGTTTTTTTGGACAAAAAACAAAAGATATTTAATCTGCCAATCTAAATGATTTTTTTTATGTTTTGCTTCAAACATTTTTCATTTATTTTCTTTACAGATTATATTCTAATAATGGGATTAAAAGTGTAAACGCAATAATAATTACAGTAAAAAAATCATTTTCTGCAAAGTGTGTTTGATACACAACAATTTTCACTGCAGACACGCCTCAGTCTGCGCAATCTGTTTTGATTACGTGTACTCCCTCGCTGCTATGAAAAATAATGCAAAAGGTTCCTGATCATATTAGATGATTTAAAACCCTTTCTTTTCTCATCTAGGGACTCGCGACTCACTTAGCGAGTTGATTCTTTGCATTGTTAGAACAAGAGTCATTACAGAACGCGATCGACTGTAACAACAACGGCTAATGACGCAATTCACGATCATCACGGTAAAAGGCTCCTGAATAAGAAATGAATTACTTTTAGTCTAGATATTAATATAAAAATATGCGGTTATACAGCAGTAGAAGTTCGCAGAATGTTTTAAGTTGTCCAGGGTAACAAAAACTAGACTTTACGGCACTAAACTTACTTTGTTACGGGTGATGGTATATGTCGTAAAATCGATTAAGTATTCTTTTACATACATATTTTTCGCATACTACACTTCTACTCGTTATTAATTATCCGATTATATATGTATTGTGATTTACCAAAATAAATTTACCAAATAAATTTTTACGTTGCAAAACCAATTTTACAAACAATGAACAACATAAGTAAAGGATATCCAAAGAATTCCAGATTAAAAAAGGTCTGCGTATTCTTATTTGTGATTATGAATAATTGCGGACAACAGGTGTGAATTCTTTCGCGAATGATGGGTTTTAATCCTTTCATAATTGCCGCAGTCGTAACCCCAATCCTCGATTCTGAAAGCCATACACCACCCCGCCCTTTCACGGCGGAACTTCGCTTTTTTAATTTATTAAAAGTGTGACGAGATCTCGTACGGATTCGCGCCTTCGAATATCAAATAAAGACACGCTCCGATGAGGACACGGATGAGACAATCCCAGGATCTTGACATGATCCAGTTCGATGAGATATCCAGCGTAGCGCGTTGACAGGCTACGACACCCTTATAGGAGATAGATAGCCGCGCGGTAAGTTACGGCTTAGCAACATTTGTATAGTAATCGTTTTAGTACGACGACGATAGAGAAATACGTCCTAGTCACGTGGAACTATTACCAGAGGTAAATGAAAAAGACATCGGCAAAGATAAAAATTATGTAGAATGAAAATCATTACACAAATAACAAATTCACTTCAAATAATACTTACTAATTAATAATCACTCAAGTTTCTAATAATGAAAAATAAGTCGGGTTTTCCTTCCTGACGATATAAATCCAGAACGTATGAACTGATTTCGACAATTTTGCGTTCGTTGGAAAGGTCTCGGACTCCGTGAGGTTTATAGCAAAAAATTTGAGAATGATTTCAACAGAAAAGCGGAAATTACTTTTTCTTTTTTCACATACAGCGTCATCTCTGATACTTAGCATGTACTACAAACTAATATTTTTTGTTTGAGTGCTACTCATTTGTTTGACAGATACTCATTGTCCTCTGCTCAGTTAATTTCGTGTGACAAACCGGCATTGTGTTCACTATCAAATTGTGTAAAAAAAGTAAAAAAATAAGTTATTCGTCTCCTAACATTTCAATTGGAAACCATCAAATCAATCACGTGTATTGCAAATTTTTATTCAATTTCAACAACAGGCAATTTTTTTTCTTCATCTTTTAATCACCAAACAAAATGTTACATAAAATGATACCATCTGGTGGTGAAACGGAGTTCGCCCGGTTTGCTAGTTTTGTATGAAAATATTGAAACAGCAAAGCTTTTAAATTAACCAAGTGGATTTAAGAGAACCCTTGGTCCTGAAGCATGAAATTTATGTGAATTTTATTATTTTAATATGCGAAGACCGAACAATATTTTTACTATATTTTTTACAAGTTATTTATTGAAGTTTTCAGAATATTAAATAAAAACTAAAATTATAAACCAGTCATATAATTTTAATTCTGAAAAGGGATGAAGTAGGGGGTCCTGAACATACACATGATGTTAGCCCTTCAAATGATCCGAAGAAAAATAAAATTATTAATTTAGGATAATGTCGCAGATGTATAATCTACGGGCAAGTTAACAAAAATGTTATTTTCACAAAATAACAATTAAAAAGTTTTTTAACTTTTTGGATATTCTCTAATTTTTAAAAAATAGTAATAATCGGAATTTCGGAATGTACGTAGTTCAGACTAAAGACATGTCTATAAAAAAGATTTTGTAAAAATTTCACTTCTAACCCTTAACTTCTTATTATGAATAAATTAGTCTCACTATTGTGCTAATATTCTCTATGCTTTATTTATAAACTGTAGTTATTTTTAAGACAACACTAATTTTATAATTTCAAATTTTATTGAATTAACACTGTTTTATTATATGCACCTAAAATTATAAACAAAAAATGTGGATCAAAGTTAAAAAAAAGTTTCGATCTACTATGAAATTGGGTCTTCAACGCGTGATCATCATGCCTTTTGTTTGTAGCTATCACAACGATACCATAAATCTTACGCTGTAATAAAAAATAATCCGAGAATGAATAAAAATATCACTTGCTACCCCTTTCGCGTCGTTAGCCCTTTTTATATTCTCTTGTCATAATGTCTCGTATGAATTGTTCAACTTTAATGATTATTTCTTAGTGTTTGGTTTTGAAGACACACTCGAGAAAACTAAAAATTTTTTATTACTATTATAGCACAAATATTAATAGAAAGAATACAACGATGCATTAAATTAAAGGCAGTACGGTAATCATGTATAATTTTCGCAAATAAGGTTTACGAATTAGGTATAATAATATCCACTTAAAGAATTATAAATAGGCTCATACTATTATTAGTATGTAAAAGCACCTATTTTTACATCTACAATACATGCATGTATTCACAAATATAATATATATACTTCTACAGACATATATTCACAAAAGCGCATAATGAAAATAAATATAATGAAATAAAAAGTATGATATTAGTTCAGGTTCAGTTTTTAGTTAAATGTTTTGATTTTCGACTTTTAGACTTGCTCTTTGAAAAATAATATTTCATAAAAATTAAACATAAATACATCGTGAATGAAAAAAATATTTTTAACAAAAAATAAGTAAATAAAAAAAAACTAGAGCAGTCTAATAGCCATTCGTTAATGTTTCATTAGAATTTTACTATTGGATGAACAACGGTCTTGAGAATTCAAGTATAGGTTTCTATAAGTTGCATAATTATGAAAATCAAAACATTAATAAGGGGCCGTTCAAGTATTACGTAAGCACTATAGGGGGACGGGGGGGTTATTGATTTGCTTATTTTGGGTTGACATGGGGGGCAGGGGAGTCTGGATGATGATTACGTCATAGATAGTATTTTTATCTTTTTTACCGAATGGCAACCTTACATTGTCTTTGCCAGTACCAAGAATTTAAAATAAGTTTGTTATGTGCGTAAGATTATAATAATTTTGTTACTCTATGTTGAATACCATATCAGTAAAATCTACATTCTGAACCTATTTTCTTATTTTCAAAATTATAATTATAACCTAATAATTACAATATTTGAAAAAACAATACATTAATTGCAAAATATTTACGTAAGCATGGAGGTAGGGGGTAAGAGCTTTGCTTACTTTTGCTGATAAGGGGGATGGGAGGGGGGGCTAAATAATTGTAATAAATCTGCTTACGTAATACTTGAACGATTCCTAAGTAGTAGTCACCGAAGAAATGAAAAAATAATAAAAACTAAAAAAAATGAAAATAAAAAAAACTCGCAATACATACATGACTGACCTTCGATGTGTGCGTCCGTAGACTGGACTCCGTCGCAAATCCTTTGCCGCAAATGTTGCAATGGAACGGTCGGTTCTTCGCCCGCTCGACTTGCGCGTCGTGATTCCGCAGATGCTGCTGCAAATTCGACAGTTGAATGAAGGCTCGTCCACAGTCCGGCAAGTGGCACTTGTACGGGCGCTCACCTGCAAGAACGGTAGCGATGTCGCCTGCGTGAGAAACGGAAGCCGGGATATCCGATTCAGACAGTGCGCCGTGAATGATAAATTTCACGGACCGCGTCTCATCACTCGCAATGGGTTTTCTTAACAGATACGGTATTTGCATATGTGGGAGGCACGGGGAGGACCGGTGGTATAACTGTTTTTTTGGTCGGTGTGTTATTACTATTTTCTTTATGGTGTTCTTTTTGCTAATGTTTCTTTTTCAATTTGCAGTTATAAAGTAGGAAATGTTTGGAGAAAATGGTATCGTGTTAATGATACATATATACTTAATTATATTATATGCAAAATTAATTATTTTTGCTCATCTTCGATTCATTGACAGTATTGTAATTAACCCCTTATCTTAAAATGACGAGCAGAGCCCGCGTGCGTTTGCTAGGCCAAAAGTGAATATTACGGGCATAGCCCGTGTACGATATTCGGGCCAGAAGCAAATATTACGCATTTCGGGCATGGCCCGGTATGGTGAACGTAAGTATTGTAAAATATTTATTTATACGAAACTATAAAACACAAAATTATTTTTATTTTTGTGATAAACCGTACACTATGAAGGAAAATTGTTACAACGCCGCGCCAGCTTGAACAATTTTGGGCCGACATTTTTGAATCTAAATTGTAAGTTAAGGGGTTAAACAGGCAGTTCATAAATAAGTCGTTTGCTCTTCTTTGGGACATCAGCACATGAAGGCATGAGTCCAAAGAAAACAAGTCATACATCGTAACCACCCTTGAGGAAAAGAGATCTTTGCTATAAATGCGAGGCTTTTATTTTTTACCGGTGGATCTTTCTCCCTGTTTTTAGAAGTAGTTAGAGTAAAGGCTAAAAGTCAAACACGTTTTACAGTGTTAATTTTCTGCTTGCGAAATAGTACTATGTCATTTTGTCCATCGTATAAGCTTGTCATTTTGTCCGAAAGTGATCAAAAATAAATAAATATTGCAAATAAATAATTCAAAATCACTTCTATTGGCATAAGTCAATTGATTTTAATATATATAGTTACAAGCAACAATAAATAAGTCCCAAAAAAAATGTGAAAACTACCCTCAAAATAAACTTTTATGCTGCAATAAAATTGTTCGAAATCACCAGTACTGGCATAAGTTATTTGATTTTAATATACATAATTACAAATGATAATAAATAAGTTTCCAAAAAATATGTGAAAACTACCCTCAAAATAAACTTTTGAAGGCGCGATACAATTTTACTACGGCAAGACAGTAACAATGACGCTCAACATCTGACATGATTATGATTATTGCTTTCTTAACGTTACACAGTCGAAAAAACGTTGATAAAATAGCAAATTTTTAAGTAAGGCCTCTATGTCATTTTGTCCATATATACCATTATGTCCGTATTTCCCCTATGTTATAAAGTATTATATTATTTTATTTATTGTGTTAGGTAGTAGTACAAGCATTATAAAATTTAGTTATTTAAACGTTTATATTTAAAATCAATGTGTATTAATTATGGTAATATATATATATATATATATATATATATATATGCGTGCGTACAAACCCTTAACCCATTATTGTATCATACAAGTTTGTTTTGACAGTAACATTTCTTGAAAGTACTATTGATTTCTTAAAGCTCATGCCTTTGACTGCCAAATTTAATGTACCTAAGTTTTAATTTAATTATATGTAAACCGCTTTAATAGTCGTGATTGAAAATGATAAATATCCTTATGAATATAACGAGGTTTTTGAGAATGAAATTAATTTTGCGTATTTTTAAATTCATAAAAGTTGTAAAATAAAAATAAAATAAAACTTACCGGAAATAACTATTAAATCCTATTTCTGATTATGAATTTTACGGTATTATGCATTTATTTATTCATACCGAATTTAAAGTATGATGAGTAAACTGCAGCTTTTTGAAAAAAAATATATAAGAAACCATTTAAAAATAACAAATGAGCTAGGCGTTGAACAAACCTGTCCATAATTAGTTTAATTGTTAAATCAATTATCTACTTAAATAATACAGTCGACAATAAATTGTATTCAAAATGCAGATTGTCATTCAAGTCATTAATGTTCGACAGAATTTTTTTTCCAACGTTTTTCATTGTAGTTAAATCACATTGATATTATTACAATATAAACCATTGTCCCCTTCGTTTTCTAGTCGTTGGGAAACACCGAAAAAACTTTATTTGATTTCGATGGCACTTCTAATAAAATAAAGAAACGAATTTCATTGTCGGCGAACACAACGGCTCGAACTAAGAATCTAACAAGAATTTTTTTTATTAAAAAAGCGAATAATTAAAAAGTTTACGTACAACTTAATGACAGTTATTTGCCGAATTAAATTCAGCAAATGATTCGGTAGGATGAGTTATAAAATATTAACAATTCTTGTCGATTAAGATATTAAGTTATGCAATCACAGGGGTTATTTGATATAGAGAAAAAAAACTTTATAACCAGCGCAACAGATGTTCTCACCCTTTCTTTTTAGTATTTATAAAAAATAACCTTTATTGTGTATGCACAATTACTGAATCAACCGCCCTCTATTCAAACCAAATTCAAATGTATTTTTTATTACATGAAGGTGTTAGCAGCTAAGCATATGTTAACAACTTATATGTTGAATAAAATAATGAATTAAATAATGGACCATGAATATGTATATATTAACTAGTATTAGGTTACCAATATATTCATTTAAAAAAAATCAAGGTGTATGTACCTAGTTGTTAATAACTATCACGTTTTTGTTTTTTCAAACAACTGGATTGATAATAAATAATAAAAATAAAAAAATGAGCATCATCCGTTAAAAAATATCAGCACAATCAACTTTAATTTTGAATATTTTATGCACGGTCTGCCAACTTAAAATCTCATATATCGCTCGATCTCATGCGATAGCGATGCGATGAGGGATGTTCGCATATTTTGATATAATTACTTAATATAGCAAAATATCAGGAAAAATATACATGACGATGTAATAAATAATACATTTTATGTATGGACGTATTCAAATAATAAATTTCAGGTAAACAATACAGTAAAATTGAACGTTTGCTTTTGTATAAAAAACTTTAAGTATACGGCGACCACCTGTCATCTATACACGGTTAGAAAGCAATTCATAACCCTTTACCTTAACTTTGCTTCGATAAATATGTCCAGGGTACACGAACAAATTTAATAATGCAAGTTCAAGAGATATAAGTCGCAGACGCGATAAACGCTATTAATCAATTGTTCACACTTGTTAGATACATCGCTAAATGCTGCGTTATTGATCATTGTCAACTCTGAAATAAATTATGCATGGATTTGCAGTAGTACTCTGTATGAATAATAATGTTGATTAACTTTACCGCCAGGTGATGTGATTAAACTACTTTTAATAAAGGTAATAAAACATAATAGTTTATTGTTATATCAACACGAATACTAAAATATTTGAGTTTTTTCCTAACTAACGTCCCGTAGGGTAAATTATAGTAATCGCAAAAAAATGGAAATGAACATTTTTGCATACCTTTACGTTTCAAAGATTTTTGACATTTTGGCATACCTTAGAAAAAAAATGATTTTTCGTATGTAGTATGTATGTATGTATGTTTGGATACAATTTTTTGTCCACAATTTTGGGATTTGAATGATTCAAAAAACATTCGATTCATATTGATAGTCGAGCCATTTCAAAGATACGGGCCAAAAAATGCAAAAAATGGCAATACACTTTTTGAGAGAATGGAGTGTCCGATTTGAATGATTCAAAAAACATTTTACTTGTATTAACGGAATGAAGAATTAATTAAATTTTTGAGAAGACAGTAATTTTAGAAATCCCCAAAAAAACATTTAAAAAGTACAAATTTTGTTTACATTTCTGTGAAATCCATATCAAGACTTATATTGCTTGATCGCTAGGCTGCTTCGCGGCGCTTACGCGTTTTGATATTACCGATTTGAATTATTCAAAAAACATTCGATTTATATTGATGATTAGTTTTTAGCAAAAACTGGTACAGCTAATTCAAAGATACGGGGCAAAAAGTTGCAAAAAATGCAAATTTACTTTTTATGAGAACGGAGTGTCGGGTTTGAATGATTCAAAAAACGTTACACTTGTAATAACGGAATGAAAATTTAATCAAATTTTTGAAGAAGGCAAGTTTAGTGGTTTCGTAGATAAAAAAAGTAAAACAAGTACAAATTTTGTTTACATTTCTGTGGTATCCATATGAAGATTTATAATGCTTGATCGCGAGACTGCTACGCGGCGCTTACGCGCTTCTATATTTTGTCTCTAACACAAATATGCATCGTAATAGCTTTAAAAAAATCTAAATTTAAAATAATTTCTAAAAAAAAAATCGAAAAAATTTAAAGCTTTTAAAAAATCAGGATTACGGTACGGAAAGTTCCGGCAATTTGCCTTAAGTCACAATGCAATGCACCACTAGTTATTAGTAAAAAATGCAAAAATTGAAAGTTTTTGTTAGAAATCAGCGATGTACAGAAATCACAATACTTGTCAAACGAAAATCGACTATGGATGGTCGAGCGGCGTCGCGACGGGCGTCGCTGCGTTCCGTTCCCCTATTTTTCGTTATAATTTTGAATGCGCACACGGCCGAGCTCATATTAAGACAGTCCATCGCCGTGTTCACGTATTATGAGTTGAAAAAGGCTCCGCCTATTGACAATTTGCCACTACAGCCTACCCTATTGTGCAAATATGTGTTGTAGTGCATGTATGTGCGAATTTTCAATTCCATCCGCCATTGTCAAGGTTCGGCGATTTCCTGCACGGTTTCACACGGATCGCCTTTCCACGTGCGTCATTTATATGTTTGAAAGATTGCAGAATGTGTCTTGTTTGAAGAATCTGTGTACGTTAGTAATATCGCAAATAAACACGTTTGCGCAAATTGGACCCACACACGCGATCTTTTTCATTG